TTCAGAGTGCTGTAGGTTTGGGGCACTGTGGGTTTAGGGTGCTGTAGGTTTGGGGCGCTGTAGGTTTGGGGTGCTCCGGGATTCAGGGTTCTCCCGGATTCAGGGTGCTCTGGGTTTGGGGCACTGTGGGTTTGGGTGCTGTAGGTTTGGGGTGCTGTAGGTTTGGGGCGCTGTGGGTTTAGGATGCTGTTGGTTTGGGCACTGTAGGTTTGGCGTGCTGATTCTGTTTAGGGGCTGCAGCAGATGTGGGGTTACTCCTGGATTCAGGGTGCTCTGGCTTTGGGGTGCTGTAGGCTTTGGGATGCTGGGGGTTTTGGGGTCCTCCGGGATTCAGGGTGCTGGTGCTGTGGGTTTGGGATGCTGTAGGTTTGGGTTCTGTAGGTTTGGGGATACAGGCTCTGTTTTAGGATGCTGTAGGTTTGGGGTGCTCCAGGATTCAGGGTGCTGTAGGTTTGGGGTACTGTAGGTTCTGGGGGTACTGTGGGTTTGGGGTGCTGTGGGTTTGGGGTGCTGTAGGTTTGTGGTGCTTGAGGATTCAGGGTGCTGTAGGTTTGGGGATAAAGGCTTTGTTTTAGGATGCTGTAGGTTTGGGGTGCTGTAGTTTTTTGGGGTGCTCCCAGATTCAGGGTGCTCTGGGTTTGGGGCACTGTGGGTTTGGGTGCCCTAGGTTTTGGGGTGCTGTGGGTTTGGGGCACTGTGGGTTTAGGATGCTGTAGATTGGGGTGGTGTAGGTTTGGGGGTGCTCCGGGTTTGGGGTACTGTGGGTTTAGGGTGCTGTAGGTTTGGGGGTGCTCCGGGTTTGGGGTGCTCTGGGTTTGGGGTGTTGGGACCCCCCACCCATCGCTCCCTCCCCCAGGTGCGCTCTGCACCCCAAACCCACCCCGTGGGACGGGGGGAACACGGGGGGGACACGGCCGGGGGGTGACACCGGAGCTGATTTTGGGGTCCATTCACAGGTCATTGTCATGTCCGGCCATGAGACCATCCGGGTGCTGGAGGTGGGGGTGGATGGGGACCCCAAAAGCGCCGGGGAGGGAGCGGGGGGGTCCCCGGGACAGGGGGGCCCCCCAGGAGTGGAGGACGCTCCCGGCAGCACCCCGAGCTCGTCCAGCGGGGACACAGCAGGTGAGAGACCCCAAAAACAACCGGGAA